TGCACCGGGGCCTCCCACTCCTCTTTCTATTCTGGTTAGAGCCAGTTTGCGCTGTTTTGTGAAGGGAGTAGTACACAGCGTTGTATGAGATCTTCAGTTTCTTGGCAATTTCTCGCATGGAATAGCCTTCATTTCTCAAAACAAGAACAGACTGACGAGTTTCAGAAAAAAGTTATTTGTTTCTGGCCATTTTGAGCCTGTAATCGAACCCACAATTGCTGATGGTCCAGATACTCAACTAGCCTCAAGAAGGCCAGTTTTATTGCTTCTTTAATAAGCACAGCAGTTTTCAGCTGTGCTAACATAATTGCAAAAGTGTTTTCTAATGATCAATTAGCCTTTTAAAATGATAAACTTGGATTAGCAAACACAACGTGGCATTGGAACACAGGACTGGTGGTTGCTGATAATGGGCCTCTGTACGCCTATGTAGATATTCCATAAAAAAATCAGCCGTTTCCAGCTACAATAGCCATTTACAACATTAAGAATGTCTACACTGTATTTCTGATCAATTTGATGTTATGTTAATAGACAAAAAAATTGCTTTTCTTTTTCGGAAACAAGGACATTTCTAAGTGACTCCAAACTTTTGAACGGGAGTGTATAAATGAATGAATAAACAAATAAAGCTTTTTTTGAAATATTTTAATATATAGAAAATGATGTCAGGCTTTAGAAGCTTCTGATAGGCTAATTGACATCATTTGAGTCAATTGGAGGTGTACCTGTGGATGTATTTCAAGGCCTACCTTCAAACTCAGTGCCTCTTTGCTTGACATCATGGGAAAATCAGAAGAAATCAGCCAAGACCTCAGAAAAACAATTGTAGACCTCCACAAGTCTGATTCATCCTTGGGAGCAATTTCCAAACGTCTGAAGGTATCATGTTCATCTGTACAAACAATAGTACGCAAGTATAAACACCATGGGACCACGCAGCCGTCATACCGCTCAGGAAGGAGACGCGTTCTGTCTCCTAGAGATTAACGTAATTTGGTGCGAAAAGTGCAAATCAATCCCAGAACAACAGCAAAGGACCTTGTGAAGATGCTGGAGGAAACAGGTACAAAATTATCTATATCCACAGTAAAACGAGTCCTATATCGACATAACCTGAAAGGCCGCTCAGCAAGGAAGAAGCCACTGCTCCAAAACCACCATAAAAAAATAAAAATAAAAGTTTTAATGACTCCAACCTAAGTGTATGTAAACTCCCGACTTCAACTGTACGTGTCAGCAACCACATCTAATGAAGCCACTGAAACCCTTAACAAGGAGTTGCAGACAGTTTTGGAATGGGTGGGCAGTAATTAACTGGTCCTGAACATCTCTAAAACTAAGAGCATTGTATTTGGTACAAATAATTCCCTAAGCTCTAGACCTCAGCTGAATCTGGTAATGAACGGTGTGGCCATTGAAAAATTTAGGAGTCTAAATGACTTGGTGTAACCTTAGATTGTAAACTGTCATGGTCAAAACATATCGATTTAATGGTTGTAAAGATGGGGAGAGGTCTGTCCGTAATAAAGAGATGTTCTGCTTTTTTGACACCACACTCCACAAAGCAAGTCCTGCAGGCTCTAGTTTTGTGTTATCTTGATTATTGTCCAGCCATGTGGTCAAGTGCTGCTAACAAATACCTAGTTAAGATGCAGCTGGCCCAAAACAGAGCGGCACGTCTTGTTCTTCATTGTAATCAGAGGGCTGATATAAATACTATGCATGCCAGTCTCTCTTGGCTAAGAGTTGAGGAGAGACTGACTGCATCACCTCTTCTTTTTATAAGAAACAATGTGTTGAAAGTTCAAAATTGTTTGCATAGTCAACTTACACACAGCTCTGACACACACACTTACCCCACCAAACATGCCACCAGGGGTCTTTTCACAGTCCCCAAATTCAAGAAAGTGTACAGTATTATATAGAGACATTATTGCGTGGAACTCCCTTCCATCTCATATTGCTCAAATAAACAGCAAACCAGATTTGAAAAAAAACAGATAAAGCAACACCTCACGGCACAACGCCTCTCCCCTATTTGACCTAAATATTTTGTGTGTATGTATTGATATGTAGGCTGTGTGCCGTTTTTAAATGTATGTAGTTCTGTCCTTGAGCTGTTCTTGTCTATTAATGTTCTGTATTATGTAATGTTTCATGTTCAGTGTGGACCCCAGGAAGAGCAGCTGCTGCTATCGCAACAGCTAATGGGGATCCTAATAAAATACCAAATATCCTGAGAGAGACGGACAGAGTTACTTCCCTGAGGGAGACCAGACAGAGTTATTGCCCTGAGGGAGACCAGACAGAGTTATTGCCCTGAGGGAGACCAGACAGAGTTATTGCCCTGAGGGAGACCAGACAGAGTTATTGCCCTGAGGGAGACCAAACAGAGTTATTGCCCTGAGGGAGACCAGACAGTTATTGCCCTGAGGGAGACCAAACAGAGTTATTGCCCTGAGGGAGACCAGACAGAGTTATTGCCCTGAGGGAGACCAGACAGTTATTGCCCTGAGGGAGACCAAACAGAGTTATTGCCCTGAGGGAGACCATACAGAGTTACTGCCCTGAGGGAGGACAGAAGGAGTTACTGCCCTGAGGGACAACTCCTCCCCCAGCATTTTGTCCTCTGGGCTCCTCAGGTATGTACAGGCAGGAGCGGTCTCTTCTCCTCCTCTCCTCTCATAACAACCTCCCCCCTCCACCAGTCAGCGTATCTTCCTCCAGGCTCCTCAGGTACGTACAGGCCTCATCAGTCTCTGGTGAAGCCACAGAGAGACCAGTAGGTGTAGTCGAAGCAGAAGGATCAAGGGCTCTGGCCATTACGAGGGTCCTGGATGTTTATGGTGCTGGAGGCCATGGAGAGGGTACAGCGGCTACCCGCGTCCCCCTCTCTCTGGGGATGGAAGGGGAGAGACGGGGGACCAGTGAAGCAGGTATTGTATTGGTGGAGCATAACATTGCACACAAAACACAGTGCAGATTGGCCTAATACAGCACATTATTATGAAAAAGCAGGAGAGAGAAATAGTAGCCTGGTCCCAGATCTGTTTGTGCTTTTGCCTACTTAATTGTCATTGGCAAGCTAAACAAATGTTTGGCATGACAATTCCATTAGGCGTTGGCAGAAGAGCAGAAACAGACCAGCACCCAGGCTAGAGAAATACTAGACAAAACTAAAACTATTAACATCCCAGATCTGTCCAGAACTGACCTTGTTGAAGGGTCAAACGCGTATGGCATCTCTGCTCCTTTAGCCCTCATGATCCTCCCTGCTCCTGTGAGGGACTGGTTGGGTGACACCCTGCACCCACTGACAGTAGCACCAGGGCTGCATCTCAACAGTCTAGAGCGCCTTCCTCGTCCTTGTCTTCTCTCCTCCATCTGCATTGATGAGAAGCCTTAGAACCAGACAGGTGAAAGATGTCCTGAAAGACATCATCCATGTTGCTTTCACCAAGCCTTTATTTTCAGATAGTTCAGTTGGAGAGGACACGTGAAGACCACTTTAGACTATTGAGATGCAGCCGAGGGGAGTAGCTAAGTAACCAGAGTAAGACCAGGTGATCACTTTCACTCTGCATCTCCCTGTATGAATTATAGACACACGCAGCGCCTTTTATCAAGGAAAGCTAGTCTTTCAGGAAGGCTACTGACACGCACAGCCATTTATAAAGGCTAGACACACAAACCTTTATAAAGATTACTGACACAGTTGACTTTTGTCATATGAGCCAGTACTAATACCTCCCTGAACCCTCAGTCACCATTAGTCTTATACTGCCATAATTCTGTCACTCTGGGGCCATGATTGCCCTATTTTAATTGTCTTATCTAGCTCGATCTGACCTTGATCTTAAATTGGTCATAAGTCAAAATGGGACAATTCAAATACTCGTGTCCCACTACTAAATGTACTCAAAGTTTCTAGCCAACCAGGATCCAGTCTTAGTACTTGCTTAGTAGTGCTTACTGGTGAGAGCAGAACATTGGACAGAGACAAGAACTCCACACAGTATTAATGAAATACTTCAGCTTTACCATATTGTCAAAGATCAGTCATTGTAAATAAGACATTCATCGGCATGTTATGCTGGTCAAATAAATGACCTTAAAACAAGCCAACAAGCCTTATCAGCCCCAGTGGATTCACTGTGTAGGTTATATACATGTTAGTCATACAGTACAGGAAAATAAGCCCAAACTACCTAAATCAGTGCAAATTAATCATTCGAAAAACAGCAATTAACTTTACATAATTGTCTTAAGGCTGACATTGGCATCATTATTATGACCCAAACATGATCAAAATTAAAAAACAGATCATTCACAAGTATTCAACTTTATTCATAACATGGCAAAAGAGACTATTTACATATGCATCAATTTATAGAAATGTACAAATTCTCCAGAAATAAAAAACAATGTCTCTTTTTTGGTGTTTAAGTCCATCAGTCTTCCTCCCTGTAAACATAACAATAATTTATATAAAATTATCAATATCCAATTAAATTTGATTAATTATTTTCAAATATGTTCTCTACTGGTTGTCTGTCTTAAAATACAAAACAGCAGGCAGCAACAGTTAAAAGAAAGAAAAGGAGAATCAAATCTCTTCCTCAGAGTAAAGTTAGGAGTCCAGTCCACGCGCGGGTCGACTTCCTCCGGCTGCGGGGAGGGGTCAGGGCAACCACTTCCTCTTCCTCTTCCTGGGTGAAGAAGGCAAGGGTCACCCTGCCTGGACTGCTGGGCCGCTGTTTGGCCCCTTCATCGGTCTCTGTAATTGATTCCTCTCAGTCTCCTTTTCTTAATCTGCCTTACAGCGTATTGGAAAGCAAATACCCAGTAGGCATCATACTGCTTTCACTATCCTATTTTTCAGGCCAGTTCAGATGAAGGAAAGGAGACAGGGATATTCACCCCATGAGTTCTGACTGAGTCTGTAAGATTCCAGGTTGATGCTGTAGTTTGTTCAGGGTGAAAATGGCATCCGATCATAGCTTCTTCCTGCGGGTGACGGGTTTGGGGAAGATTGCCTCCAGCACTCGTTTGCGTCGGAGGTTCATCCGGGGGGCGGGGGCGTCGTTCTCCTCCAACAGCCTCCTCGTGGCACGCGGGGCGGGCTCGGCCGGGCTGGGCATAGGAGAGATCAGATCCACTTTGGCTGGGGGAGGGGGCGCGGGGGCTGCTTTGGGCCTGGGGGCGAGATAGAAGAATGAGAGAGAAAAGGTCATCTAATTGTGACTCATTGAAACAGACAGAGAGTGGGAGTGGGCAGGGCTTGACAAACTTTTTTAGCCACTTTTCCTTTGGACAAGTAGGACAGATTTATGTCCAAAAGCTCAAGTCACTTGTTCCCCCCTCACCCCCCCAAAAAACCACATATTTTACATCTTCATAAAATAATTCCCTCCAGGGCTTGAAATTAAGGGCGTCCCATTGTATAATAAAAAAATATTTATACGGTTCGAAACAGACTCTGGGAAAGTTCTGGGACGACAGATCCAAAATTCATACAACCACTGCACATTAGAAAAATGTAAAAGCAATGAGGCTGATGAAACAGATCAGACCGTTTAGCTTAAAATGTTGATAGTTTTATTTCTTCATATTATAAGCTCAACAATGAGCACATGGCTGTAGGTTAAGTGTGAATGTTCTAAAATGCAATTCTCTGAAAACGCAGCTCTCAAAAGCGCACCGCACACAGTGGTTTCATGTGACAGATGAAAATATCTGTTAGAAATTAAGAAAGAGGGGAGATCTAAAGATGCATCAACTAGCATGTGTTACTATTATGACTAGGATTATGCCTTTGACTGCTGGACAATAAAACAACATTGATTTGAAAACCAATAGAACATGAGAACAATGCTGGTTTCAATGGCATATTAAGTGTTTATGAAATAATTCCCTCAACATTTCTATTGTCGTATTTTGGCTAGGCTACTTTGAAACAAGTCATGCTTCGTAAAATGACAAAACATCCATATTTTAAACAATGAACTTTATGGTTAAATAGTTTCAAAATGCTGACCACCTCCGCTCAGATTCAAGGTGGGTGATGTGCGGTGCGCCACAGGCACTGTCCTTCACTCTCCGGTCTAGTGACCATTTGATCTGAACGAACCTTGCCTCGAGTATGTCAACAGAATCAAGCCTTTAGACGTTAATGTTAATTATCCTTCATTATATTTGTCAAACATTACTGGCGTTTAGCCTATATGCAATTAAAAGTATAATTAAAGTTTGGCTACATTTTCTGGCGCCTCCCTCATGTCAGCATCTGTTTGGACATGAGGCTGTAGCCAACATGCATATCACCTACACTTTCACATGTAGGCTTTTTTATGTACATGGAAAAAAAGATTTGAATATTATTCCAATGTTGGCCCCTCTGACGCAATTGTGATCTGTGTAATTGTTAGATATTGTGATGTGATTTTTTTGTATTACTTGTACCGGACAAGAGGACAAGCGTTAATGTCTTTGCCCTGGTGGGGTTAGAGCATTCACATTGCAGACGGAGTGTAGAGGAACACAGAACTTACTTGGTTGTTCGGCTCTTTGTTGCTCTGGTTTTAGCAGCAGCCATCTCTTTCTCCACATCGTCTTCTGATGAGTTCTTGTCCTGAGCAACAGAAAGATACAGAGTCAGAGACAAAGCTTGAATATGGTTTTAGCTTAACAGCAACCAGACATGTACCAAATGACCATGTACCAGTTCAGCCCCTAGCTACTTCCTCTGTGTTCACAGATCTGAGAGGACGGGATAGGTGAGTGAAATACAACAAAGGCACCAGTTATGGTATTTGAGGGCTAGGCTGAGCAATCATCTTCACCATGTTGTGTAAACCTAGACAGTCCGTCCATACCTGTGAATACCGGGAAATGGAACCTGCCAGTCCTGTCTTGTCTAACATCAGTCTCAGTCTAAAGGATGTGATCAACAAACCTTGTTATCAGGCTGTGCTGCGGTGGCGTCCACCGGCCGCCTGGTACGAGTAACGGGAGGCGCAGACACGTCATTCTGACCGGGCGACTCTACTCTGCTACCTGTCAGACAGAAGATGAAAAGGCGTGAAAGAAAGCCAGAACTACAGAATAACCTTCCTCTTCTAACCACAAAGTCTGACAAGCAAACAATGTGCTAAAAGCAAGGAGCTAGCTACCTCTGGTTCTCCTCCGAGGTGGTGAGTAGATGAACGAGTCCCTGACAGGGCTTCCCTGGTCGGCCTTGGGCACTTTTATATCTCCCATCGGGGGTGGAGAGGGCGCCCGCTGACCCGACGGCTTGGTGACTCTCCTCTTGGCTCTCACCATCTCTGTGACGACCGTAGACTCATCCACTTCCCGCTTGGCCTCCTCGTCACGGAGTCTCTGGATGAGGGCGTCGGCCACCGGCGTTACGGAGTCCATCTCCAGCGGCGTCTCCAACAGGGGAAGGTCCTCCTCCTGGTGGTTCCACATGCGGCTCCTGGTTGGTCGACGATAGCCGCTGAGGGGCGGGTCATCCAGGGCGAGTGCAGAGGGAGTCTTCTCGGCGGTGCCTTCGCCCCTCGTCTTCCTCCGGCTGCGGGGAGGGGTCAGGGAAACCACTTCCTCTTCCTGGGTGAAGAGGCCGAGGGTCACGCCCGCACGGGTTGACTTGCGGGTCACCCTGCCTGGACTGCTAGGCCACTGTTTGGCCCCTTCATCATTCCCCTTCTTCTCTTCCTCCTCAGGGACCACTGGCTGAGTCTGGGGGACCACTGGCTGAGTCTGGGGGACCACTGGCTGAGTCTGGGGGACCACTGGCTGAGTCTGGTTGGCTGGGGTCTTGGTTCCAATTCGGCTCTTCCTAGTGCTGCGTGTAACAGACAGAACTGACACCTCGTTGGCCGTTTCATCTGTGGCTGTTGGCTCCTCGTCGCTCCCCACCTGGGTGTTCCTGGTCTGGCGGGTTCCCGTCCTCGGAGTGGCCTTCTGTGAGGTGCGCCGTTTGGTCGGGGTGGGCTTGGAGTGGACCACAGCTGCCTCTGTGATGAGGACCCCTTCCTCCCCTTTCCTCTCCTCCTGCTCTCGCTGAGGCTCCGGTTCTGGCTGGGATTCAGTTTTACGGGCGCTTCGGCGAGGCGTGACGGGAACCCTGGAGTCCTGGCCGTGCCGGCCACTCCTGGTGATCCGTCTGGGTGTGACCGGGACCTGAGAGTCTGTCTCCATCTCAGTCGGTCCCGCCGGCCTCTGGTCCTCTGACCCAGGCCTCTCTGCCTCCACTGAGGTGAACTTCACCATCATCTTCCTCTGCTTGGTGGCCCTGCGCATCGGGGTAGATGGGGCTTTCCTGACCCCCACCAATATTTCCTCCACAGACTCAGACTGGCTGTTAGAGGTCTTGTCCGGCTTCTTCTCCTCCGCACTGGCTGTAGAGGGCTTTCTGGTTTGAGCTATTTCTTCTTCAAGTATGGCTGCCACCTCGCTTATGGCTTCTCCGTGGGCAGGTTCATGGTTGTCTGACTGGATGGGTCCATTGCTTTCTACCTGAGACAGAAGCAGGTCTGCAGGGACAGAGACGTACTCCTCTATCTCTTCCTCAGCCTCCAGCTCAACGTCGTCTGCCTTCATCTCCTCCTCCCGACAAGCACACGAGACAGTCACCTCTTCTGTTTCCTCCCTCGCTCCGTTGGGCTGCTCGTTCTCATCCAGGACTGGTGAAGGCTGCTCTTCTTCAGTTGGTCCAGAGTCAGCAGGGATCTCATCTGGCTCTTCTATATGGTCTGTGTCAACATCTTCAGCTGATCTGGCTGGTTTAGCCTTAGAGGATTCAGGCAGGACGTCCGTGACTAGAGGAACATTCTCCACTGACATGGCTTCAGTTAAACCAGTCTCTGCCTCCGTCCAGCTATCCATGATCCCCCCCAAGGTGTCCATCCCCTCCAGGGTGTCCAACTCAGCTTCCTGCTCCTGCAGGGGCTCAGCGTCAGCCAGGGGGGTGTCCTGGTTGTCCGTGCCCAGGCAGATGACCTCTGGGTCGGCCGCAGGTGTGTCCGACGTTCCATCTGCCTCCTCTGTGGTCAGATGCTTACTGGGTTCTAGTGGTACCTCCAGTGGTACAGTGTCTGCATCGTCATCCCCATCCTCCAGCATCAGAGAGAAGCTGCTGTGGGCTCCAGAGGGGGGTACCTCTGGTTCGCTGCCTTCAACCACCTCGGTGAGCCCCAGGCGGGCGCCATCGGCCAGGGCCTGCCCCTGTTCCTCCACCAGCTCCAGAGGAACCAGCAGGGTGGTGGAGGGCTTCAGCTCTGTGTAACAAACCCCCTCATCTCCTCCTACCCCCAGCCTCACCACCACCACCTCCCCCTCTATGTCATCCTCCACCATCTGTAGGGGAAACACACAGAGATGTATGAGAACATTTATAGAGCACAACCTAGGATCACAATCACAAAACAAAATACTTTAACCCGCTCTTCAAATAAGCCATTAGACGTACAACTTTTAACATCAGTCACCCACAGCATTTAGGTCTACACACTGCTTTCATGACTGAGTTAGGATTCCATAAGACAGTTTTACCTTTAGGTCTGCCTCTGGAGTGACCAATGAGCGCACAGCTGCGTCCTGCTCCGATAGGGCAGGCAGGAACTGGGGGTGTGGCTGCAGGGGTGGGAGCTGGTCCAGAAAGAGAGAGGGGGGAGGCAAGGGGGCTCGCTGCCTCCCGTTCCCCTGCACCTCCTCGATGACCTCCACCTCGCTGCCCGAGTCTTCCTCAGCAGGAGCATCTGACTCTTCATCCTCCTCCTCCGACACAGCACTAGATAGTTCCTCACTGTCGTTCAGGATCACTACAGCTATAGGGAGGGAAGAGCCCCATCAAACACTCACTAAAGGTAACATTAGCTATTATGAGCATTCCAGACCATTATTGGTCGGTATTAGCACAGAGGTGTCAACTCCGCTGCCGGCCAATCAAAACACAAAATCCTTTGTGGTTGTAGCTCGTACAGTGGGCCTGCGTTAGATCTCTGATCGCATGACCTAGAGTCAAGGGGTAAAGGTCATGAGCAAGAGGTGAGAGATCACTCACAGTGGGAGTCGGTGCCCGTGGGGTCTGAAGCAGCTACGGACGCCACACCCTTCTGGGTGGTGAGGGCCAGGGGGACGGCTGTAGGAGCAGACTCCTCCTCCTTTACCACATCACACACCCGCTCACTGCACAGGGGAGAGAGAGGTTTAATGATATTCAAGATGCTTTAACATCAATAAATGGTTGTAAGCACATATACACCCAAGGATGCTGTTGGGATGCACTTCAGGACGTACCTGTTGAAGGAGGTCCAGTTGACAGAAGCCTTGTGGATGCCAGAGCGGGTCAGGGGCGGAGACAGGTCGTTGCCAAACAGATGGCGCTCCACAAACTCGTCCAGATCTACAAGAGCAAGAGAGAGAGGATTCAACCATGTCATGAGAGAGAGGATTCAACCAGGTCATCGAAGGCTTAAAATCAACTGCATCATGATCAGTCCGTGTCTGTGTAACTCTTCTAAGCTTAGTATTCAATTTAGTTAGGTTTAGCTCTGTCACTTCATCTCACTGTGGTTACCTGCACTGAGCTCACACTCACAGGCCCGCTGTACATTATCAAATCACCTCAAATGGTTGCACCTTTGCACAGTGAGGAAGATCTAAACTGTTCCTCAAGACCATTAACGTTTTTGATTGAACACACATTGTGTTCACTTTGCCTCAGACTACTCCTGTTTGAATAATTTGACATCATCTACACAGAGCTGAAACCAAGCAGGACATGAATGTAATGTATTTCATTTGGCTACTGGAGCGGCTGTAAGATCCTGGCTAAGTGAAGTCCTCACAGGTGGGTGGAACCCTCACCAGTGTGTTCCGTAGCATCCACAGGTTCCATTGGTTCAGTGGGTTGTGATTCATCCTCTTTGGGAGCCTCCTCTTCCACCACCTCCACCTCATGCTCATGGTTGAGCATATCAATCACTTCCTGACTAAGGTTAGATTCCTCAACCACTTCCGTGTCAGGAGTTGGTTCTACTGCCCGTGTGAGTCTTGGTTCGACTACAACTTCCTCTTCAGCCTCTTCCTGTTCGGGGCTGACCTCCATCTGCTCTACTTCCTGGTCCGGCTCCTCTTCGGCCACTTCCTCTTGGCTGTTGACCGCCTCTTCCGTTACTTCCTGGTCCTTGTTCTGCCCTTCCTCCACTGATGGGAGGAGAGTCAGCTCATTGGCTGCTGCAGGCTGCACTTCCTCCTTTGAGAGCTGGGCTTCCAGTACTGCTGGAGTTTTGAGGTTAACCACCACTTCCTTTTCTTCCTCCTCGTCTGTGACTTCATTGGCTGGCTGTTGAAGCTCCTCCTCCCTCTCCAGGTCTTCAGGCAGAGGTGCATCATGGAACTCCAGGGTGGTGTCCGTTGAAAGGACAGAGGCCTGGCTCGTCTCCAGGCCTAGGCTGAGTCGTCCTGGCAACGTGCTAGGCAATGTGGTTACCATGGTGACCTCTTGGACAGAGGAGCCACTCTCAGACTCTCCCCTCTCTGGTGGCTCGCGGACCGGTGGTGGCAGGAACTTCACGTGTGTCACCTTCACCTCCTCCTCTTCCTCATCAGGGTGTGAGGTCCAGGCCTCCAGTCCAACCTTGGAGAGTGGAGAGCCTCTGGTCAGCAGGCTAATCTCATTTTCGGTTGCGATCTGTAGAGTACAAAACATAGAAATTCCTGAAATCATTAACATGATACACAAGGGTAAAGTATCTGAACAGTTAATGTTTGTTCATAAGAAAGCATCTCTCAATTCCACTTCTGTTGCTAAATAAGGCCCAGCGGTCCGGGTGTCTTACCCCGTTGCTCCAGCAGAGGGGGCCTTTCTCTGGCTTGGGCGAGGCCGTCTCCTCGATGAAGGTGATGCGGCTCTCCTTGGGGCACAGCGGGGGGGTGACAGAGCGCCCGGGAGAGGCAGAGGGGGTGGCCACGGGGGTGGGGCGCAGGCTGCTCCTCAGGATGGACTGAGGGGTGAAGGCTGAGAACACGGGACCGGACGCCGCAAGGGCTCGCGCGCGCTATGGGAACGAAACAACCATGCAGACAGTCAATGGAGTTTCAAACACAAACACAGTTGACAACCCAATGCCGCAGGCATACTTAGGACTCAGGCACAGTGGTGTCCAGGACCATGTGACTTCTAGTAGGAGTTAAGAGTTAATTCCCAACCAAGATATAAAACTAGAGGATTTCCAGTCATCGTGCCAGTGAGCGTCAGTGTCTAGGATGTGGGAGCATGTGTGACAGTCGGGACAGTCAACGCTCTTCCCCTTGGTCTGAGTCTTACCTTGACCACCTGTGGAGTCTGCAGCAGGCTGAGCTCGGGGGCCTTGTTGATGCTTTTGGGGGGGTTCCAGGAGCTGGCCGCCCTGGGGGGTGTCAGCAGGGGTCGGGACCCCTCTGGAGGTGTGGTCTGAGAGGGGTGAACCACTAGGTCCAGCAGCCTGGGGGCAGGGACAGGAGGGGTTAGGAAAGCATGTCAGATGTATCGAAATCACGTCAAACCCCTTTATACCAAAGACTAGAGGTATGTCATTTATAGCTCATCTTTCATACATGTACACATTTGAGAAACATGTACATAACTCGAACTTCCACCCAAATCTCTCATTGACATCGATGTATGATTAACGTGAAAGTCTGAGTTAGACAGGAATATGTCAAGTTGGGGTTCGGCGTGTGCCCTACCTGGACTTCCTCTTGGAGGTCATGGTGATGGGCGTGCCCACGAAGGCCTCGGGCAGATCCCGGGAGGGGAACAGGGGGCTGGGGCACAGCACCTCCACTGCCCTGGGGCTGGGTGGTGTGGAGAGGGGGGAAAACAACTCAATCAATTGAACAGATCAAATTCAGGGGTGGAAAACCCATCTTTACCACTTACTTACATCTTAGTCAGATAGGGGTGGGTTTGGGACAGGGCGGTGGGGTCTCACCTCTTGAGTGGGGTGGACTGGGGCGTGGGGTTCTTCCCCACCCACACCTCCTCGATCTTCGACAGGACACTGTTGATGAATGCCGCTCTGGTAAGCACGTTCTCATTGGCCGACCGCTTGGCGATGGTCGACAGCGGCTGTGGTCGCGACACTAACAAGAACACACATTATGGAAGTCAAGGGTCACGCTGAAAACATAAATCTAACCTTGAAGCGTGTGCACAGCAGCGTAATAAGAAGCTAGGAGGGGTGAGATCCCGTACCCTCTCTGAGGATGGTGGAGGGGTGGTGGTACGGCTTAGCTCTCTCCGTGGCCAGCCTCCTCTGGACCCGAGGAAGAACTTTCCCGTACTGGTCCAGGATAGAGTTCCTAGTGTTGGTTCTCTCCTTCAGCTTGGGATCCCTCTCGTTCTGGAGAACAGATATATGAACGAAATGGAAACATTAAAACGGCAAAATTCAGCAACACCACACCATAATACAACCATCATATTGACACTAATACACGTTAGGGTGACTTATTTCTAAAATTTGTATTAGTCTCATTCCAACTCGCACTACATTTCTAGTTGCATATTTTCTGTGTATTGGTGAAGTGTATGAATAAACATGAGGTTTATTTAAAGGTTAATCAATGTAAATGTGTACGTACCACCATGTTCATCTTGAGGGTGTGGTTGAGCTGCAGGGCGGGGACGTAGTTAGCCTGCTGTAGGTAGTGCACCATTAGCAGCTCTCTGTTCTGGAGACCCCCTGTACCCTGCAAGAACCTCTCCAAGCACTCCTACACAAACAAACAGATACATCTTCAGGGATGGGATCGGCACAACTTGAAAAACTCTATTTTATTGATGAGCATGCCAGGGACGTGATTTGGGCCTGGTAGAAAGGAAAGTTGGGGGAACAAGGCATTCTACCTGTTCAGCCAGGCCCAGGGGAAGTTTGAGCAGCTCCTTCATGAGGCCAAGCTCCTGACAGGTCTCGTAGAGGAACCGTAACAACTCCTCCGTGTTCAGCCTGTTGGAGTGCTGCCTCAGCATGGCCCAGGCCTCCACCAGACACCTACACACATGGAGAGGAGGAGGAGAGAGGGGTTACACAGACATGTTATGTTATCCGTATCAGGAAAAGAAACTCACAATGCCGTCACTGTTAGCACAGATGCTAGCAAACACACCCTATAGCACCCACCTGTTGTGTAGCAGCACAGAGAGGCAGAGTTGGGCCTGAGCGGTGGAAGAGAGGGGGGGCTTCATGACGTGGAGGTAGCGCAAGGCGATCCCATGTTGCCCCTGGCACATGAGAGCATGCAGGACGCGACCGTGCTGCCAGCCCCACAGGGACGGGGAGGCGGTGGGGTGCAGCAGCAGCTCCAGGGAGTTCTGGAGGGGGGTTAAAGGTCAGGTGTCAATTGGAGGACACCATTTTATCACTACCAATATCTACCAACTTATCATTCTATTAAATATAACTCACAGTATACAGTGAGGGAAAAAAGTATTTGATCCCCTGCTGATTTTGTACGTTTGCCCACTGACAAAGACATGATCAGTCTATAATTTTAATGGTAGGTTTATTTGAACAGTGAGAGACAGAATTACAACAAAAAAATCCAGAAAAACGCATGTCAAAAATTTTATAAATTGATTTGCATTTTAAATGAGAGAAATAAGTATTTGACCACTCTGCAAAACATGACTTAGTACTTGGTGGCAAAACCCTTGTTGGCAATCACAGAGGTCAGACGTTTCTTGTAGTTGGCCACCAGGTTTGCACACATCTCAGGAGGGATTTTGTCCCACTCCTCTTTGCAGATCTTCTCCAAGTCATTAAGGTTTCAAGGCTGACATTTGGCAACTCGAACCTTCAGCTCCCTCCACAGATTTTCTATGGGATTAAGGTCTGGAGACTGGCTAGGTCACTCCAGGACCTTAATGTGCTTCTTCTTCTTGAGCCACTCCTTTGTTGCCTTGGCCGTGCGTTTTGGGTCATTGTCATGCTGGGATACCCATCCACGACCAATTTTCAATGCCCTGGCTGAGGGAAGGAGGTTCTCACCCAAGATTTGACGGTACATGGCCCCGTCCATCATCCCTTTGATGTGGTGAAGTTGTCCTGTCCCCTTAGCAGAAAAACACCCCCAAAGCATAATGTTTCCACCTCCATGTTTGACGGTGGGGATGGTGTTCTTGGGGTCATAGGCAGCATTCCTCCTCCTTCAAACACGGCGAGTTGAGTTGATGCCAAAGAGCTCGATTTTGGTCTCATCTGACCACAACACTTTCACCCAGTTCTCCTCTGAATCATTCAGATGTTCATTGGCAGACTTCAGACGGGCATTTATATGTGCTTTGCGGGCGCTGCAGGATTTCAGTCCTTCACGGCGTAGTGTGTTACCAATTGTTTTCTTGGTGACTATGGTCCCAGCTGCCTTGAGATCATTGACAAGATCCTCCTGTGTAGTTCTGGGCTGATTCCTCACCGTTCTCATGATCATTGCAATTCCACGAGGTGAGATCTTGCATGGAGCCCCAGGCCGAGGGAGATTTACAGTTATTTTGTGTTTCTTCCATTTGCGAATAATCGCACCAACTGTTGTCACCTTCTCACCAAGCTGCTTGGCGATGGTCTTGTAGCCCATTCCAGCCTTGTGAAGGTCTACAATCTTGTCCCTGAAATCCTTGGAGAGCTCTTTGGTCTTGGCCATGGTGGAGAGTTTGGAATCTGATTGATTGATTGATTGCTTCTGTGGACAGGTGTCTTTTATACAGGTAACAAACTGAGATTAGGAGCACTCCCTTTAAGAGTGTGCTCCTAATCTCAGCTCATTACCTGTATAAAAGACACCTGGGAGCCAGAAATCTCTCATTAAAATGCAAATCAATTCATCACATTTTTTGACATGCGTTTTTCTGGATTTTGTTGTTGTTATTCTGTCTCTCACTGTTCAAATAAACCTACCATTACAATTATAGACTGATCATTTCTTTGTCAGTGGGAAAACGTATAAATCAGCAGGGGATCAAATACTTTTTCCCCCTCACTGTACATTAGAAATTCCACATTGGATTGTATGACTATGCTAATCAATAGCTAAATTGTTGAAGTCCAAAAGGTTCCCTACATTGCACTAAATGCAAGGTTTGAGTTGAGGAGAAAAGGCCCCATTACAACCCAAACGCTATCCTCGCTAAATGCTAACTTCCAGATATACAGTCTTATATCCAAATGAATGTGACTGGCTATAACCCTGTATTTTCTTGTGTAGTGAGTGAGTGAGAGCGAGAGTGTGAGTGAGTGCGCGTACCTGGTGGTCGTGGTGGTCCAGCAGCCAGAGGCCCTGCACCAGTTTGACCAGACCGATGGGGATGGCGAAGGCGGTGGGGAAGGACTCCACAGACGCACCACTCTTGTTGGGGAAGGAATACATCACATCCAACAACAGGTAGATCACCTGGGGGGGAGGGGGGGTCAAGGCTCACACACACAGAGAGAGGGAGAGTGTTGTATCTCACTACACTGTGTGTGTGTGTGTGTGTGTGTGTGTAAGCGGGAGAGTGGGTCTGTATGTGTAAGGTGGATTTCAAGAGTCTAGGTGCTAGTGTGGGTTAGGAGTGTAAGGACAGGACACGGCAATTCAAATCAAACCAACTCCCTGATATGAATACGTAGTAAGATGGTTGCTAGGGAACCCAGTACAGAGAAAGGATACGATGGCGTGCTTAGCAGATTCATCAATGTTCTCCAGGAGGTAAATGTCCAGCAGGCCCTGTGGACAGCAGAGAGAAGATCAAATCCCACATCCAGGTGTGTTTTAGCTTCTGTTCTCCCATTTCTACTTCTAGATGGAATTCCATGAAATCAGTCAGAGTATGTGCTCAAGGTAGGGGGTTCGATCCTTTTTTGGCTCCGTGTGTTTGTGTGTGCGTGAATGCACAGGTACCAAATGCTTACATGTAGCGTAGGGGGTGGATACTGTCCCGTCCCGCCCTCGTCCCGTTTCCACAGGTCAACCAAGCGATCACCGCATTGGGCGACTAAGCCGTCAATCATCAGGCAGTCTGCACACCACTTCCCCCTGAGAAGAACACAGATGGTTAATTCTAAATATTGATGGTGGTTGAGGTGGTCCTACATAAAATGTATTAGTTTCCCAAAACAACACAAAATAGTATCATTCACAGTAGGGCTCCGCAGTAGAAACATGAAGGAAAATGGACACTAATATCAAACACTCATACCAAATATAAGGGGTTTCTCTATATGCATTCTACTGCGCTCCACGCTCTCATGCTCAGAGGACGTTCGTGAGGACAAGAGCGTGAAGAAAGCATTAAACATTCCATTTGAGAAGCACCCGCACTCCTGTATTACATCACGCTGCACCTCCCCATTCACTGAACCTTCTTCCAGCCAGGACAATGGCAACAATAGACGAAACAAGATGTACACAAAGAAAACGTTTTACTTCATAATTAATCAGATAGATATGCGAATAGTAATAATCTAGCTAGCAGGCTAGTTAAACTGGCAAAAATGACCTAAAACTAATGTTATGCAAGGTAGATTAAACATTTGTAGGTAGCTAGCTACCAATTCTTTGTGGCTATCTAGCTAACAGTAGTAGCTAGCCAGTTAGCCATATTGACTTATTATGGGCTTGCAATCTACGGTACGTAGGCAGGTAAACATGCCAAAATTAACACAGCATGTATTTATTAACGTATCCAGATAAAATATTGTAGTCAGGCAACATATGAGAAGTGAATAGGAAACATTTCATTCCTAATACGGAGTGTATTTTCTCTCGCTTCAGCTCAAATAATGGCCGGCATTGATTTCAAGACAGTGTGAGTCATTTTTAACGTTGGGGTGTCATATTTCTTCGTATAGATTGCCGATGACGCTTGCGTAGACACATACTTCAAAATAAGTACAAACGGAGTACGCATTCGTTTAGCGCCCTCCGTGCTCCGTTTGGATACTTTGATTTGGACTCATACTCCAAGGCTCCCGTGCTCGGAGCACGGTAGTATGCATTTTGAGAAACACCCTTACTGTATACAACATTACAAAAAAGAATAATAAATCGCAGCATTTCAGAAGAATGACACTGAAGGGACTAAGTTAAACTTTTCCCATCTCTTCTTGCTGATGCGTTTTACCATCAGTCCTGAACCAGCTCTTGCAGGTGAATGGTCTGATGTGATGTGAACAGCACTCACTTGGAGAGCTGCTGCAGCTCCTCTCTGCGGATGGTGTAGTAGTTCTGGATCACAGAGTAGCTGTAGAAGGGCCTGGAGATCTGCACAGCGTCCTCATCTGGTTGAGAGGGGAATTACAACTATAATGGTCCTCTGTAGCTCAGCTGGTAGAGCACGGCGCTTGTAACGCCAGAGTAGTGGGTTCGATCCCCGGGACCACCCATACACAAAAATATATGCACGCATGACTGTAAGTCGCTTTGGATAAAAGCGTCTGCTAAATGGCATATTATTTATTTATAATAGTGGACATCTAGTGCTGCATCTGAAATGGCACCTTATTGCCTATGAATTGCACTACTTTTGGTGTACATGATGAAAGTGGTCAATGTTCCAAAAGGTGGCATGGAATATGGACTGAACTCAAATGTTTGAAGTGCTACCACAGTACGTGGTCTTACCGGAGCCCTCGGGCAGGAGTCCAGTCCGACAGAACCAGAGGACCACCTGGGCGTACTGGGAGATGAGGCTGGACACCTGGTTCTTATTGATGAGACCCAGCAGACCTGCACAAATAACAGCATTACAACAGTCTAGTTCTACAACACCCAATTCTGCCTCATCATGACATGGTATGTAAAGGCACTTAAAGTGTGTGTGTGTGTGTGTGTGTGTGTGTGTGTGTGTGTGTGTGTGTGTATTAAGGGATCTAACTACTGGGAGTGAAAGCCACCAATGCAGACACTTGTGTGACCCCCTCGCTGCCTCTCAAAATATTGAGATTGCCACTTTGCTTCTGCAGAGAAAATGGACATTCAGGTGCATGAGCACCGCGAGCTGCTCTGCTCGGTCAACAACCAGTGCTTCAACGCCCCCACCCAGCTTCCTATTTAAATGAATAAGCCCCCCAGCAACGGTGCCCCTTGTCTGAATTAGGCTTACCTGGTTGAGTGAGTTCCTGTGCCTCGCTGAGCAGACAGTGGAAGATGGTGCTGAGGTTCCCCAGTAGCCTCTGGCTGTGCTGCAGCAGCTGGAGGGTCGGGGAGTCCGTGAAGTTAGACGAGCTGTCAAACAGGGGAGCACCTGGGGGGAGGAACACACACAGAATAAGGGCGGATGGAAATCAGGAAACACAGCCCAGATTGCAGGACCTCCTCACTTTTAAGAAAATATATTGCCTAGGAAAACATTTCAAATCCCAAAATGCTTGAAGAAATTAAGTTTGACAACACAGCCGCAAGTTGCTACAGTTAAAAACCAAATACGCAGCCATGAGTATTCTCATCGATGTAAACCAGAAGATCAACAAGGTGTTGACACTGATCACTGTAGGAAACACTCACATATGCCATCCAGCTGCTCCTTCGTGTGAACCACCTTGTTCCAGGCCCACTCCAGAATGTAGCGCAGGTTCACCGCAGAGCCTGGTTGCTCTGCGAAAGCCAACACCACCATGTTACGTTAGAGAGAAATCCAATCTAGGGGCACATCTCAATAACCCAAACTGGCTCCATCACCTCGTCTCCTTTCCTCCATCTGCAAGGATGTGAGTGAACTGGGCTTGGCAAGCGATTCCACCATTACGGTTTTCATCTGTTTTGTGTGTTCGGATCAGTGTACATGTAGTAGAGGAGATGAGGAGAGGAAGCCATTTCACAGTATTGAGACGAAGCCAGAGTTGATCTAACTAACAGGGTGCCAGTGTGTGTTATACAGTGTCTCACCCTCAGTGGTCCACTGTTTGATACAGCTGGTGATCAGGCCCAAGGAGCTGGTCTCTATGGCTGTAGACAAGATGGCGTCCAACTGCTCCTCCTGACCAGGGAGAGAGTTTGGCACGTTTAGAAACCGCCTTCACCTAGGAGCTCTATTCATGACCTAATGCATCCACATAGATAAAATAGTTCCTAAAAACCTTTAGACACTGGATAGTTGGTACAGCAAAAAGGTGTAACCGTCAACCTCTCAGAAGCTGTGTGTACCTGAGAGAGGCTGGAGGGCTGCACGTCAGCCAAGCCAGAGGAGAGCAGGCCGGACATCAGGCAGCGGGAGTAGCCGTTTGAGATGACGTCACTGGAGCAGGGAGCAGCCTTCTTCAGGAAGCTCAGAGTCTGACACAGCAAGAGACAAGTTAATGTAATTCACAAGATTACATCCTGCTGTATGGACTATGGATGACTTGAAACTCTTCATTTTAGCCATATGTACAGTGCATTCGGAAAGTATTCAGACCTTTACTTTTTCCACATTTTGTTACGTTACAGCCTAATTCTACAATGGATTAAAATCGGGGGGGGGGGGTTCTCCTCAATCTACACACAATACCCCATAATGACAAAGCAAAAACAGCCTACAAGCTTGGCACACCTGTATTTGGGGAGTTTCTCCCATTCTTCTCTGCAGATCCTCTCAAGCTCTGTCAGGATGGATGGGGAGCGTCGCTGCATAGCTATTTTTAGGTCTCTCCAGAGATGTTCGATCGAGGTCAAGTCCGGGCTCTGGCTGGGCCACTCAAGGACATTCAGAGACTTGTCCCGAAGCCACTCCTGCGTTGTCTTGGCTGTGTGCTTTGGGTCGTTGTCCTGTTGGAAGGTGAACCTTCGCCCTAGTCTGAGGTCCTGAGCACTTTGGAGCAGGTTTTCATCAAGGATCTCTCTGTACTTTGCTCCGTTCATCTTTCCCTCGATCCTGACTAGTCTCCCAGTCCCTACCGCTGAAAAACATCCTCACACCACCATGCTTTACCGTAGGGATGGTGCCAGGTTTCCTCCAGATGTGACACTTGGCATTCAGGCCAAAGAGTTCAATCTTGGTTTCATTAGACCAGAGAGAATCTTGTCATGTGCCTTTTCCTGAGGAGTGGCTTCCGTCTGGCCACTCTACCATAAAGGTATGGAAACAGGATGCACCTGAGCTCAATTTCGAGTCTCATAGGAAAGGGTTTGAAAACCTATATAAATACGTTTTTTTATTTTTTATTAATTTGCAAAAATGTCTAAAAACCTGTTTTTGCTTTGTCATTATGGGGTATTGTGTGTAGACTGATGAGGAAAATATTTAATGTAATCAATTTTAGAATAAGGCTGTAATATAAAAGTCAAGGGGTCTGAATACACTGTCACCATCTTTGCAAAGATAGAGATTGAGAAAATACACCAAAAATGTAGGGATAAACTCACCTCTTTCTGATACCCAGAGCAAGTTAAGTGCACGAGGCCAGTGTTGAGCAAACATGTTGCATCTGTTACAAGGAAAAATACAATTGACCAAGTCATGACAACATTTACTAAACCAATCTCAATGGCTTTAAAGGGGTACATGCATTTCTAATTACTCAGGGTGTCGTGTGAGAAGGCTTGCAGTGTGTGTCTAACTTGCCGAAGTTGTATGTGGTGGGGTTGAAGAACTGTTCTGGCGGGGGGCAGGTGTAGGGCAGGCCGCGGCTCAGGCTGCGCTCGTGCACAAGGACGTCCAGCATGGGGCAGGGTGACGTCATCTCCACCACTGAATCCAGAGACCACACGGCCAGGTAGGGACAGCTAAGCAGAGACTCCCCCGTTCTGACACACACACACAGGTTTCATATTAATGTAATCACGTAACAGCGTTCTATCAACCTATAAAATGATTTCCCAACAAAAAAGTAGACTTGTTTGAAAAAAACTCAACCAACTACATGCAAAAAAACAGAACTAATAACAAATAATCTGATTGATGAACGCCTGGTATTAGGGGAAGTTGGGCACACCATGCAATTTAGGCGGCTGTTGATGGGTTATTTATATGTCAGAATGTTACCTCAGAGAGTCAGGCATCTGTGCGTGGTACCATCTGTTGATGTCAAAGACGCCAATGTAGGTGGAGGGGTTGCCCTGTCCGTAGGCCTTCACCTGCCAGCTGAAGATGGACACGCTGGTGTCTGGAGACGCAACTGACCGGGGAGAGAGGAGACAAGGAGGCCTTAGTACCAACAGAGACCACAACAATGAAACCACATATCCTTTTTCCTCCAGGGTCGCATTCATTAGTGCACACTGTGGCAAATAATTTTGCAACGGGAAAACAAACGTGCATTTCCTATTAGACAAGTTCAGGTTGCCCCTCTCCTTTTCGGTCCATTTTCTTCCGTTTGGTGTCTAGTAAGTGAATACCACCCACATAGGTAATTAAGAACACATGCTTTTTTTTTTTTTTAGCTTTTCTGGTCACTGATACACCAATCTAATCCTGAAAAGAGTCGAGTTGGGATGAGTTGAAGGAAGAGGTACCTTCGTTCATGCTGTCGTCTCTGTCAGGGTGGTGTCGAAACTTCTCAATGGTCTGGCAGCTGAGCAGGCGTGTGTTGGTGGCCTGAGCCCTCAGAGGGAAGGCTGTGCTGCTCAGCTCCTGACTGTACCTCTCCTCACAGTACTCCAGACCCTGGGAGAGAAGGAGGGAGAGAGAGAGGGGAAGAGAGCATTAATGTTAATATGGCGTGAACGGAAAGATTAAAAGGTCTCAAAGCAGTGAAAGCACCACATTTAAGTAAAAAATAAGTATGATTGGGATAATAGATGACTAAATTAAATCTTCAGGGCTGAGAAACATTGAGAAGGACTGTTGGAAACCATCAAGCTTTTGGGCTTTAAAACCACGATTGCGGTCAAAACACTTGACCATGAACATCCGGTTGACAGCCAGTACCGAGCCTTTACCAAACAAAAGGTGCATTGAACAGAAATTGGACCCGGTTCGCGGGAATAGCTACTTATTTCAGTTCGACAGAACAAAATCATTGAGGTAAAAACTTAGAAGGTTGATATTAAGGTTACCTCATAGAGGATCTTTCCTGAGGCCAAACACTTCCTCTCACTGAAGGCCAGCTGGAGCAGGTGGAGGCTGACCACGTCCCCCTCACTGGAGAGAGAGAAAGAGAGCGAGAGAGATAGAGAAGGAGATGTGTTAATGGGCAGCAATTACACCAAGTCATGTGCATTGGCATGAGGTGGTTAAGGCTGCATGAGTATTTATGCAAAATAAAGGCCAATCCTGAGCCTAACAGTGTGCTATGACCGCTGAGTACCATAGCTGCATTCAATGGACCGAGGCTACATTTGCATACATGCTGTAAAGTGTGGAGCTTCCACCATACTGCTTTCACTGATCCAGTCCTCTCATATATGTGTGAATACCAATGGGGTGTGGGGCTGAGGGGAAGGGGCTGGGAGCCCACATGGCGCTGAAATGATTCCACTGGTTCCATTTTCCTGGACAAGCTAAAACAACCTCAAGTATTTAAAACACTTTAAATGAAATCACATCCTGGTCTGGTGTGCACTCTATGACCCCTTCCAAGCGGTCTGGAACTTTGTGGCTCAAGCAGGCAGACAGGTGGGAGGGAGAACTCACTGGTCCTGGGCAGACTGGACGGCCCACAGGTAACAGCAGTTGCGGGGGTCGTTCTCTGGCTCCTGGAATGTGAAGGCGTACACTGGCACCCTGCCGCCCTCCAGCTGGGAGTGATACCTGGGGGGGAACACAGCAGAGAAAGTCAGAAAAAGCTATAACTGAAGGTTTACACCATAGCCACCATGTCATCCCTGGGTCGTCAACTCACTCCTTCTTGAGCGTCTTCATGTTCCAGAGCTGTAGGTATCCGTCGGAGAAGCCCACGGCCAGCTGGTTGGTGCGGGGGATGTACTGCAGAGCCGTGGCCCCCGTGCCCGTGGGGCTGCTCAGCTGCAGACAGAGGTGTCTCCCCTGGCGTGTCTCCTGCTCACGCAGCCGGGGGATCTCAGCTAGGGACTTACTCACCACCTCCAGATCTGGAGAGAACAGAGGAGGGTGTGGGTTAGAGAGGGAGAGAAAACACACACGTCAAACTCTCTCACAATCTTGAGAGGAACTGTGGGCCAGTAAAGTTCAGTAAGGTTAAACACACACACGCTGACCTGAGGCCTCCAGCTCGCTCTGGCTGCAGGAGAGGTCATCCAGACACAGGTCCACTAGGAGGACGTGTCCCAGGTCCGTGACCACCGCCGCCATGCCAAAGAACCACCGCAGGCTCTGGTGGAGGTGCTGTGTGCTGGCACTGGCCCCGCCATAGCTCACCAGGGGCTCGATGGCCCTGATCTGCCAATCATCAGTTAGTCAGTCAGTCGACATCAAAATCAATCAAGTCAACCGGTTGATGTAAGCGACAGTAGTAGATGGTGAGAGAGAGAGCACTCACCCTGCCCGGTATGACCACGGCTTTGACCACTCGGGAGATACCCAGGTCATAGAGACAGAGCACACTGCCCTGGGCCTCCTCCAGGCCCACCAGCAGCCCGGTCCTTTTCAGCCAGGAGAAGTCCCTGGCCACCAGCACACTGGGGGGGTGCTCCCCCCTGCCGCAGAAGCAGTAGGCGGACAGGCGCTCGCCTGTCACCGCATGGACCACCTCCAGCTGGGGCCCACAGGCTAGCCAAGCCAGCGCGCTACGACCTGAGTCCAGATAGGGTCACGTCAGTGAGGTAGAGAAGAGGGAGCAGACAAGTTAGGCCTACTGGTTCACGGTGGTTTATTGTAAAATCCCTCCTCTGAGAATGGACTGTTTGAGATGTATTTTTTGTTATTTTAAGACTGAATAATGCAGGAATGCAAAGCGTCCCTCCGGCAAACAACTAATCCTGGGAAGGTATGGGACAGTTGGCTATAGTGGCAGACATACGTTTCCCCACAATTTCAGTTGGAGTGAGAAAATAAAGAAACCCTAACTGCATTGGGTTGTTTATGTCTTATGTCTGGTGATGTTTGGGAACTGAGGCTGCTGACACTGTAGGCCTAATTCATGGATGTGCCATACTTCCATCCTCTCCAGCATGGTCAGATAGTGAGAGATCACCGTTGTGCAGACACACGTTGACTTACCGACAGTGAACTTCCCGTGAAGCACAGTGTCCAGGGTGATCTCATCCTCCCCCAGAGCATCTACAGTCACCCCCGGGAAACGCAGCAGGCTGCTGGTGACCTGGGCAGCCAGGTCACGCATGTTCACTGCACACAGAACATGACATTTCACTGCATTATGTACACAACAGACAAAAACTGACATTGCATTACTTTTGTTATTCTTCGCGATAACTTTCTATATTCAAAACTTTGGGTTTGAGGCAGATATGGAAGTCAAAACATACATGGTTATCTTGTTGCTCAGCAATTCCACGGTATTAGAATTACATTTTTACATTTACGTCATTTAGCAGAGGTGCATTCACCTTATAGCCAGTGGGATAACCACTTTACAATGGGGTTTTTTTTTTTTTATGTTGCGGAGACTCAGATTTTTCACTTTAAAATGCTAAACAAAAACCAATGATTCTAAAGTTAAACAAACCATACAACTATGCACAAGGACTACTTTTAACTTCCACTGACATTTTTACAAAAACACATTTACTTGAGCAGTGCAGAAGATAAGTTTGGTAACAGAATGACAGCACTATGCTCAGCAACTGAGCTCAAATCAGACCATAAGAGAACAAAAAACAGTTCCTCTCCAAGCATCCACTAGGTTTTGTCTTTGGGGCTATGAGAGGGCACTCAAAGGGGACAAAAGAGGTATTTATGCTGTGTTATGGTCCCCATTTGTCAGCAGTTTGGGCTCTGGGCCTGCTGGCATAACAGCTGCAGGCGTGTCTGTGTGCATGTCCTTCTCTTGGTGCTGTGTAAGCGTTGACAGATGCGAATCTAGTAGGCCATTACCATCTTATCGGAAAGCGCCAACATGGCATGTTGCTCTGTGTGTTTACTGTTTGCCATGTTAAAACTGCGTTACTGTTTCCCCACTTGATTCCCCATGAAGAGTGCATGGTCCACAAGATAACACTCTTAGACAGCCTTGTATAGATGTACATTAAAAGGTAAGTATTTAACACAGATTTCTGTGCCACTGACTGAGTTCGGTCCAGTATAAGCAAAACACCACATCGAGTCAGTGTCATAACTTCGTTCACCAATGGATTACTTTGACTAGCCTCATAATTTCACATAACATGCCATGTGTGATGCATACGGAAAGGCGTCATGCAAAATACCACCCTTTTCACAAGCAAATAGCCTAACTAGCTAATTTACTTGATAGCAATCTATGTAAAAATAATCCGAGACTACTCCCGCGCAGATTGACAAGGCTTGGTACCGTTAGATACAGAGTATTGGAGTAGCTAGTCGAGTACCGTCTGACATCTAAATAACCCAAAACAAAGTAGATATAAAATGGTATCTACTCACATGCTCTTACCTCAATTAACGAGCATCTCCGAGACGCTAAAATATAGCTAGCTATTAAATGTAAAACGCAATTAGTTACCTGTGTATGTGTCGGTTTCACACCTTGCCTACGCCAACGTTAGCTAGCTAGCGTGTTCAAAACAATGTCCTTCTAACTAGCTAGGCTAAATGGCGAAGTCCAGAGCTATGTACTTCATTTTAGAGTAAGTGACTGTCGCGATCTAAACATCTGTGATGTAACGTTAAACTAGTTAGCTAAAGCAAACCAAGGGGTACTGACACCCTTGACTTCTGATTTGAGCTAACGAACTTTACTAGTACAACGTTCCCTAACTAGCCGTCTCTCTCGGACAAGAGTTCAATCCGACACCACGATGTCATTTCTTACTAACGAGGTCAGTTTTCTAACTAGCCAGCTAACGTAATAGCTTAGTTAACTAACTAGTGTAGTTAGTTGACAGTGCCTTTGGGGACTGTAGCGAAAACTGCATTTACAAGAAACTACAGAAACATCCGTTGACTTAACTAGCTAACTAACGTTAGTAAATTACCTAATATATAATCGGCCTTGTTAGCCAGCTAGCTAGACAACGAGCTGCTGCAGTAAACCAGTTACGTCTTGATACATGTTGGTAAATAACTGGTGTTTTGCTAACGTTAGCATCCTGTATTTTGTTAGCTAGTTAATACACCGTAACGTCGTTAGACATAGTTAAGTCATAGCAACGTGTGAGGCGGGTGAATCAAAACCTGGCATGAGGTAGCATTATGCTAACATTAGCCGCCTAGCTAGCAAGCTAACGTCCCTAAATAGTTAGCTAACGTTAGCCAATTTTGGGTACAACCCGATTAACTGCTCCGTTGTGCTTAATGGCAGCTAATCCGCCCATTCTACCAACAGGCAGCATAGTTAGAATAACTACCTACCGGTAACTAACGTTATAACCGTAGCTAGCTAGACGTTACCTGATGTTGTTGACCGTCGTAACGTACTAACGTTACTAGTAGTAGCTATTAAAATGCGATGTCTTTTCCGTTGGGACTCTTCCTCGGCCCTGTCATAATAATCCGATTTTCTTGCGAATACTTTTTGTTTTTTAGCACAAATGTCGAAAACCCACAAATGTTTCAGTGTGAAGGACCGTCTCTACTGAATTAGTTGCGCTAGCTACGAGGTAACTGTCTTCTTGCTAGAGTTCAACGCGGGCGCATTTCCATGTCGAGCTAGCTACTGCGCAGGTATAACGTACAAGCTACTGCGCATCCCTTGCTTCACAAAATCACGCAAACGTCAAAGCGCCAGAAATAAACATCGCGAGAATGTAAACTTGTTTTCTTTCTGCTGCGTGAGGCAAAGGTTTGACATTCAAACAGAACATTTTCAATTATGCTTTACACTCTTTCGAATATATATACATTATTTTCTTTCTTTCTTTGTTATGTTGTATGGGATGTGTTCAATAATTTTGAATTTATCAATTTGTGTCTTTGTGGATTTTAAAATCTACACTCTGTGTTTCTGACATTTGACATATAATCCTCATAGGATTAGGTTACATACTGTAGTTTCAGTGGTGCAGTAAATGCATGGGTGGACTGTGATTTGGAGGCCCCAGGCAGAGACTAGTCTGAGGCCCCAGGAAGTGGCCAGTCTCAGGCCCCTGCCCATTTCTATTCAACACAAATACTAAATCATGGCAACTAAACGAAGAGCTGTTCGGAGCCGGCTCTTTTAGGTGAACGAACAAGAATGAAAAGGCTAACTTGAAAATACTTGAAATGCCCTTCACTAGTCAAAGTCTTTGCATCACCGCAGTGCAGTAGCGGTGCGTGGGTAAAATCCCTGGGGAAGCCAAGCCAGAAAAAAAGCCATATTACAACCTACGTATGTGTTGTGATAATTGCGTTGTTTACTCTATAACCTGTTAGTTCATACTGTATGCCTTGCAACCATGATATATAGGCCTAAGGCCGAGACAATGAGAAGACAGTATGAAAAAAGTATGAAAATGTATCCACTCACTCACCAGCAGCTACACCAGCACCAACTTGGGAAGCTCATTGAATAATACAGATATGGGTGATTTCTGTCCCAGGGGACTAAACTGTGCAAGTCTTTGATCAATTTAGACCACAATTAGTTGAATGAGGTGTTAGTGAAGTGCTGGAACAAAAACCTGCACACTCCTGTGTAAAGAACCTATGGCTGTCATGACTTCAATTGACTAAATACAGTTACCATTTTATTTTGTTAATTTATGCAGGTTTGTCATGATTTCCAGGCGCCTGGTGGAGATGAATACAACAATACTCTAAGGCAAGACATTTCTCTAAGGCAGGGCAAATGATCAGTCTATAATTTTAATGGTAGGTTTATTTGAACAGTGAGAGTAAACAGTAGACTGATAATTTCTTTGTCAGTGGGCAAACGTACAAAATCAGCAGGGGATCAAATACTTCTTTCCCTCACTGTATGTCTGCCAGACATGCAGAGATGCGATTCGCCACCTGGTTATCAGAAGGGGGAAAGGAGAAAATTAATTGTGTGTCGTCTGCGAAAAACGCATGTCAAAAATGTTATAAATTGATTTGCATTTTATTGAGGGAAATAAGTATTTGACCCCCTCTCAATCAGAAAGATTTCTGGCTCCCAGGTGTCTTTTATACAGGTAATGAGCTGAGATTAGGAGCACACTCTTAAAGGGAGTGCTCCTAATCTCAGCTTGTTACCTGTATAAAAGACACCTGTGCACAGAAGCAATCAATCAATCAGATTCCAAACTCTCCACCATGGCCAAGACCAAAGAGCTCTCCAAGGATGTCAGCGACAAGATTGTAGACCTACACAAGGCTGGAATGGGCTACAAGACCATCGCCAAGCAGCTTGGTGAGAAGATGACAACAGTTGGTGTGAAGGACTGAAATCCTGCAGCGCCCGCAAGGTCCCCCTGCTCAAGAAAGCACATATACAGGGCCGTCTGAAGTTTGCCAATGAACATCTGAATGATTCAGAGGAGAACTGGGTGAAAGTGTTGTGGTCAGATGAGACCAAAATCGAGCTCTTTGGCATCAACTCAACTAGCCATGTTTGGAGGAGGAGGAATGCTGCCTATGACCCCAAGAACACCATCCCCACCATCAAACATGGAGGTGGAAACATTATGCTTTGGGGGTGTTTTTCTGCTAAGGGGACAGGACAACTTCACTGCATCAAAGGGACGATGGACGGGGCCATGTACCGTCAAATCCTGGGTGAGAATCTCCTTCCCTCAGCCAGGGCATTGAAAATGGGTCGTGGATGGGTATTCCAGCATGACAATGACCCAAAACACACGGCCAATCACTTGGATGCCAATATGTATTATATAATAGATAAGCTTGCCAAGAAAACTCAGTAGAGAGGAGAGTGCTGATCTGAACCAAATGTTCCTTGCCTATATAAGCTAAAATGTATTTATGTCTAAGAGAGTCCAATGCTGGCGGCGTCCAGAAAAGGTCTTCCCTGCGCAGATCACTACTGAATAAACCCTGGGTGAATGCTTAACAGTTCTCGACTACAAGAGCTGATTTTCTACAAAAGTTTGAGCCCTGAATGCTGTTTGGCTGACAGCCTTGGTATATCAGACCGTATACCACGGGATGACATTACGTTGGTAACCCGTTTATAATAGCAATAAGGCACCTCGGGTTTGTGGTATATGGCCAATATACCCCGGCTAAGGGCTGTAACCAGGCACTCCGCGTTGCGTTGTGCGTAAGAACAGCCCTTAGCCGTGGTATATTGGCCATATACCACACCCCCCTCGGGCCTTATTGCTTAATTATCCTGGGCCACTTGTTGGATTGGATTTACTGTACTCACTCAAACTTATGCACTCTCCTCCCTCTAAGTCTCCCAGACTTTTATAAAAACTAACGTGTCATCCCCCTATTCCCAGGTGAGTCTGCTGGGCCATGGAAGTCTAGAGCAGCACATCAAAAAACCTGCCACCCTGTTGTCAGCTATCAGCAGACAGTTCCCTGAGGAAGAATGCAACGATCAAGTCTTTAAATGGTCAGATTTGGAGGATGACCACCAAATACAATAATGTTTGGTATAAACTACTCATGTAAAAAAATGTGTAGGTTAGCCTGTTATTTTTACTAACTACATCTGACAACATGCAGACTTTCTCCATCAAGAAAACCGAGCTTATGATTCAAAAAGGTTTAAAATCAATGAAAGTCTCAGATCCAGGGTGAATACAATTGTGTTCATGTATATAAGACATCACACAGGTGTGCCAACTAAAATATATAGCCCAAACAAGTTGGAATAATAGGACAAATAGGCTGTGTTTAGACTGGCAGCCCAATTCTGATATTTGTTTCACTAGTTGGTATTTTGACCAATCAGATCAGCTCTTGGCATCCATGAATACACGCCACTGCCACAGTGGGCAATAATTTAGTTCCAGGGACACATCAGGATTTGTTTTCGGACCAATTTGTTAATCAAAGCAATTTGCAGACCAGAAAAAGGGCAGTTATTTTAAAATATATAGGTCCATTATCATTTCTACATATTTTCTATATGGTTTTATCATTTCTACATATTTTCTATATGGTTTTAGATGTTAATGTTAGGGATTCACCCTAGACTTAGATAGATGACTCAGCTTTGTATCTGTCCCATTCTGGCATCTGTGAGAGCATGGGCAGCTCCATTGAGTATGAAAATGTATGCACTCACTAACTGTAAGTCGCTCTGGATAAGAGCGTCTGCTAAATGACTAAAATGTAAATTGAGGCCAGCTCCAGGTTGAAGTAGTCAATTTTGCTCATCTAATATTGCTATGAGTTGGTAAACAAACTGAAAGGATGCATACTGCCACATTGTGTTGTTTGAACAGGTATAAAGCCAAGGTCTTCCTGATGACCTGGATAGAATAATGTGATCTTTCCTTAACCCATAGAAACTCCCATCCAGTTGACTACTTAAAAATGGTGGAAGCCCTCAATGGCAATCGCCATGCAAATAACAGGTTATTTCCAAGTAGTGTTCTCTATCCATCACTCTGGAATGCACTGATGTGGCCATTCTGGCCTTTAGAAAGTATTCACACCCCTTTTCCACATTTTGTTGTTACAGCCTGAATTTAAAATGGATAAAATTGAGATTTTGTGTCACTGGCCTACACACAATACCCCATAATGTCAAAGTGGAATTTTGTTAGAAATGTAAAAAAATTAATTAAAAATGAAAAGCTGAAATGTCTTGAGTCAATAAGTATTCAACCCATTTGTTATGGCAAGCCTGAATAAGTTCAGGAGTAAAAATGTGCTTAACAAGTCACATAAGTGGTATGGACTCTAATAGTGTTTAACATGATTTTTGAATGACTACCTTATCTCTGTACCCCACACACACACAATGATCTGAAAAGTCCCAGTAAGCACAATTATGTTGAAAATACATCAAAAATAAATGTATCTCTCTGTACTTTGCTCCGTTCATCTTTGCCTTGATCCTGGCTAGTCTCCCAGTCCCTGCTGCTGAAAAACATCCCCACAGCATGATGCTGCCACCACCATGCTTCACCGTAGGGATGGTGCCAGGTTTCCTCCAGACGTGACGCTTGGCATTCAGGCCAAAGAGTTCAATCTTGGTTTCATCAGACCAGAGAATCTTGTTTCTCATGGTCTGAGAGTCTTTAGGTGCGTTTTGGAAAACTCCATAAAGACCTGATTGGTGGAGTGCTGCAGAGATGGTTGTCATTCTGGAAGGTTCTCCCATCTCCACAGAGGAGGAACTCTAGAGCTCTGTCAGCGTGACCATCGGGTTCTTGGTCACCTCCCTGACCAAGGCCCTTTTCCCCCGATTGCTCAGTTTGGCCGGGCGGCCCGCTCTAGGAAGAGTCTTGGTCGTTTCAAACTTCTTCCATTTAAGAATGATGGAGGCCACTGTGTTCTTGGGGACCTTCAAAGCTACAGAAATGTTTTGGTACCCTTCCCCAGATCTGTGCCTTGACACAATCCTGTCCTGGAGCTCTACGGACAATTCCTTTGACCTCATGGCTTGGTTTTTGCTCTGACATGCACTGTCAACTGTGGGACCTTATGTAGACAGGTCCAAATCATGTCCATTCATTGAATTTACCACAGGTGGTCTCTAATCAAGTTGTAGAAACATCTCAAGGATGATCAATGGAAACAGGATGCACCTGAGCTCAATTTCGAGACTCATAAC